TAGTAAGAGACCAGATTTATTTATAAATAATCAGAGAAGATCTGAAGTGACTTCTGAAGAGTTGTGCAGTCCTTAGTGCTGTTTTGTGTGCAGCACGACAAGCACGTGTTATTCTACCACCTCGCTTGACCAACGTGAGAAGGGCTTGAAACGCTTCCTGAGAAAGAGCAGAGATTCGCCTTCACTGCTCAGTGTAAAGAACATAAAAATCCTCACCGTTGGTCCAGGAAGGAACCTCATGATAAACAGAAAAAAAGGAGTTGTCAAAATTGTCAAAGATTTCGTTTACTTGGGTCCACAATCAGTGCCCACAGGATCCACAGTCAAGACAAACAGGAATGCATTGCAGTGGACAAATGTGTTGCAAAGGACTTCTTTAAAAAGCAGTTGACTCCTAAGCTGTGCCTGACCCAAGCCGTGGTATTTTCAGTCACCTCCTGTGCATGTGTAAGGTGGACAATCAGAAGGAAGATTACAAGAATTGTTAGATTTTAACTGGTAGGAAAATAAATCTGTCTTGGAAGAAGTGCAGCGAGAATGTCCCCAAGGGAGGAGCATGAAGAGACCGCCTCACGCACTGGGGACATGTTATCAGGAGAGAAACTAGTCCTTGGAGAAAGACATCTTGCTTGGTAAAACAGCACCAATAAAAAAGGAAGCTCCTCAATAAGATGGGATCACAGGTACAGTGGCTGCAACAGTGGGCTCAAACAACAGTTATGAAGATGCTACAGTAAAGAGCAACACTTTCTGCTATTCAGAGAGTTGCTATGAGTCAGAACAATTCCACAGCACCTGTGACCAATATAGCCTCCCTTTCTTTATCATGACCCCAGATGCAGCCAACTCTAGCCTTCGAAATGCCTTTGGGGAATAGACACCATACGGTTGAGACTGCTGCAGGGGATAATTCTCCCCTTTTCACCTCTTCACCTCTGGTCATGGTATCTTTATGATTCTCAGACATGGATTTTGTATTATATTGATATGTATTGTTTTAAACATATACCCTCCCTCCTTGTTTATTTGCCTGATCTTGATTGCAAGGCCCCGAAGAACAAGAATTCTATCTTGCTCAATGTATTGGTTGTGTCTCCATCATGTAACATAGGACTGGCACAAACCCCTCTTCATTTGAGTCAATTCTGAATCATAGGCGCTCTCTCTCTCTCTAGGGTTTCTGACAATGAAAATATTTTATTTTTAAAATCATTTTATTGGGGCTATTACAGCTCTTATAAAATTCCATGCATCAATTGTATCAAGCATATTTGTACATATGTTGCCATCATCATTTTCTAAACATTAACTTTTATTTGAGCTCTTGGTGTCAGCTCCTCTTATTTCCCTTCCTTCCCCCTCCCACCCTCATGACCTCTTGATAAATTTTTATTTTTTTCATGTCTTACACTGACTGCTGTCTCCTTTCGCCCACGTTCTGTTGTTCATTCGATCCTTTCCCCCTTCCTACCTTCTTGGTATCACTACTCCCATTTCTGTACCTGAAGGGTTGATCTGACCTGAATTCCTCAACACTGCAAGTATTTACTAGAACAGATAGCCTCATCCTTCTCCTGCTGAGCAGCTGGTGGATTTAAACCGCTGACCTTGTGGTTAGCATTCCAATGCTTCCCCAACAGTGCCACTAGAGTTCCTTAAACCAAAAAACAAACCTGCCATCAATTGGTATAGTGGGTCCGTTAACTGCAAAGTATGCTGTTTAAAATCACCAGCTATCGACGAGACTTTCTACAGAGTTACAGTCTGGGAAATGAGGCAGATCTTGCCCTATAAGGTCACTGTGAGTAGGTCTATTTTAATGAAAGGGGGAAAAAATAATTTATCAACCAAGCAGATAGATTCTGTGCTCCCACTTAATTCTAGCCCCAACCCAAGAACAGTTCTCTTAACATGGACCTGGTCAATACTCACCTTCATGAAGTGATCACTGAAGATATTGGTGCCTAGCAAAGTGGTGAAGAAAGCAGATGGTGCCCGGTTATCAATTGGAATAGTGCCTGGGGTCTTAAGGCGTCAACTAAGTCCACATCGAACAAGCAGTCCAGCCTGTGATCCAAAGATGACAATAACAAAATCCAAATATGATGAAGGGGAAAGTATCAGAGCTCAAAGAGTGAATTCCTGCTTTGTAGGAGGGTATGGAAGACAGTGGGAGCCCAAAATTCCTCTGCAGGGTAACTATTAAGATTAAATAAATCCGCTCTAGCCGTAGGCGAAGGACTCGACAGCTTTGCTCTCAGACAGAGATTATTATAAACTTGATTATGGTGGATTGAACCATATATAACATACTAGGTCTGTTGTCCTACCTCTTGACCCAAGCTGAATTTGCACTAGGCTCAAAATATTTCTCGTTTGTTCCATGACAAATTTTTTTCTCTGGCTTTTTAAAAATAATGGTGGTCTTTTCTTTCTTACTCTTTGTTTTTATCTTTATATTATTATTTTCTTTGTGTTTCTTTTTGTTTTATATTGTTTCTGTTACATCTCCCAGTTTATCAACCACAAGGAGTGGATGCATAGAGACCATGACTGATAAAAAGGAGGGACAGGGTTGGGTTGTGGGGGGTGGTGATTGGAGATTGAGGATCAGGGAGATTGAGGATTGGGGAACACTAGAACTGATTGTGATGTATATACAACTCTTTTTAAAAGCAACTTCATTATAGAAGTATATGGTATGTGAGTATTATCCAAAACAGTACTTTAAAAAAAAGGTTACCATGGGTGATAGAGGAAGTGTTATTGCTTAGGGATCGTTTAATTGATGCACAATCGTTAATGGTGGTAGAATAATTTGGAAAAAAGAATGTCAATAATGATTGTATAACATGAAGAGTATAATCATTGGCACTGAGTTGTACATGTAGAAGTGGAGTTGGAGAATGTTTCGCTGTGTATGTTTTTGCTACAGTTAAATTTCAGACCACTCATTGGAATATATTATATTGCAAATTAGAGTTATGGATGTTGAGTGTTGGCCTAGGAAAGGTGGACATGAAGATCCTGTTTAAAATATGAGTTTTCCCCAGAAATAGAGCTAGATTATGAACAATATCTGATTACATTACTTTGTATTCAGATACCTTTATTGGGGTGGTAAGTTGCTTTAAAATTGAGGTTTGCTGGCCAGTCAAATCCTACTCATGGCGACGTCAGCCCCAGAGTAGCACTGTGCTGCGCAGGGTTTTTATGCTGGTTCTTCAGAAGTCGACAGCTAGGCCTGTCTTCTGAGGTGCCGCTGGTTGAAACTTGCGTTTAGAGTTGAGTGGATTAACAATTTGCACCACCCACGGACTCAAAGGCGAATGGTAACATTTCCTAAGCAAATATGCTAACAGGCCATCTTGGTACCCACTATGTCCTCTGCTATTGCATTTCATTATAGATACACCAAAATTTATCTTTGCAAAGCTCAAAAGTGAGACTAGTGTACAACTTTTCTAGAACTTTCAGTGCTTCAATAAAGTATTTTTCTTTTTTTAATTCCTGAGATAAGGCAAAAGGAAAAAAGCAGAATTTAGTGACTTTGTTAACACATTTTTATCTAACCCCCTGCTCCTATAGCCTGCTTTTAATGACTTAATTACTGTTGTTAAATGATATATCTTACTGGATAAAGAAAAAAAAACGCTTAGACTTGCGTTATAGTCAAATAAAAAGATGAGTATGAAGTACCCACATAAAAATTAGAGCAATTTTGCTTTTTTAATAAAGGAAAAATTTTTGCACACCAAGTAACTAGTATAACATGTGTATCTCTTCCTTTCCATGGAGCAATTGAAGGTAAGTTTGCAATGCAGCCTATCATGCAGAATACCTAATCTACACTAAATGGCGGAACATCAAAATGCAGGTGGCAGCGTTAGATAATAATCTAGAATCTTACTGTGTTAATCACACTGTATTCTCCCTGGTGATTGAGAATCATGAAGCTCTGCGATAGTAATCTTTATGTAAAAGGCACATATTTATAAATCCTGTTTTATGTTTCTTCCCAGACGTATAGGAGAAAACTTGAATGCCTCAGCAAGTGCTGTGGAAAGTGAGCCGGCAGTTCCTTCAACAGCCCAAGCGAAGGAAAAAGCTAAAACCACCGTTGGAATGGTTCTCCTTCCAAAGCCAAGAGTTCCCTACCCTCGTTTCTCTCGTTTCTCACAGAGAGAGCAGAGGAGTTATGTGGATTTGTTGGTTAAATATGCCAAGATTCCTGCCAATTCCAAAGATGTTGCAATAAGTAAAAATGACTATTTGCAATATCTGGTACGTATTCTATTTCTCATCTTCAGTAGAAATATTAAAAATTGGGAAATACTTTGAAATGTTTTCCAGATTTTCACACATGGTCATATTAACCCAAACAGAACTTGAAGGAGTTTATTTGACAAAGCACGGCCCTTTAACGCTTGTTGGTTCTGTGAGAGTGTAGCCGTTTTGAGTACTGAGCATGTCTCAGTCCAGTTCACGCCTTAAGTAGTAGCATCATTTACTGACCTCTTTTCTTTATTACTGAATACTCACTGTCATGTCCAGACTCCAAGTTCTGTAAAGGATAGTGTGCTGGGCATCTTTGTAGCAAATCTTTCTTTACTTTGTTCATACCTGTGATTGTTAACATAACAATCATAGAGAAATTCTTAAACGTGAAATGGCGAGAACAAAGACTTCATTCAGCATGGCTTTTAAAATCTTCCCTCTGCATCTACAGATTGTCAAATGCTTGAACTGAAACCATTTTATATCACTGTTGTGTGAAAGTGGTCTTTAAATTATATATTATATCTCCTTACTAAACTGGACATTACCTTTTGAGCCTCTATTATTGCTTTCTTTTTCTTTAGAAATTACTGCTTTCTTAAAATAGTGTGGGAAAATGTTGCCCTACTACATTAATTTCATGTACATTGATTACTGATGAAATTAAGTCCTGTGTGCTTAAAACCACCAAGGCTGCTGCCAGTGAGCCGGTTCTGACTCACAGTAGTCACTGGACTGGACACTGGAGGGCTGTGCTAGGTGTAGGGTTTCCGAGACTACTCGTTGATGGAAACAGACTGCCGCATTGGCTTCCCACAGAACAGCTGGTGGATTCAAACTGCTCATCTTCCACTTAACGTCCAGTTGCTTCGCCGCCGTGCCACCAGGCCTCCTTGTTAGCCGTTTTCATTTCTTCTTTTGTGGTTGCTTATGCATACACGGCTTGCTCCTTTTTCCGTGGGCATGTTTGTTTGTTTTTTTTATATGACTTTCATCTTACAGTAAAACGTGTAAAAGCTAGAACCGATGTAAGACAGCAACCTGTGAGAGAAGAAAAACGTGAATCTGTTCCACTAATAGAAAGTACTGATACTGTGCCCTGTCCAGGGAACACTTGTGAGACCCAGGGAAGAAGGTACTCCATCGAGTACTTGCTGTCACAGGTTCACTGTAAATCTATGCTCAGCTTTTAAGCATGAATTGCAGCAGTAGTCATTTGCTTTTCCTTTTCCTTTTTTGGAGTTTTTATTAACAGGTTGATTGTTACTAGGTAAGAATTTTAATTGACTTTTCCTTTGTGGTCCTTGCTTTGGATGTGATGCTTTATTTTTCAAGTTACTAGAGTAATATTTGAGAAATGGATGTGTCTGCTGAACCCAACCTTTTATTCTAAAACTTATCTGTTGTTTTAAAATCAGGATATGAAAAAGAATGTGGATGAAGAAGTTACTGAATTTTTAAAGTTTCTGCAGAATTCTGCAAAGAAATGTGCACAAGATTATAACATTCTTACTGAAGACTCTCGTCTCTTTACTGAGGTAAAAAAAAAAAATCACATTTATATAAACTGCCAAGTAATAGGTATTAGCAGCTTTCTAAAATGTGTGAGATCCTGCGAAAAGCATATGCAATGTCAATTTCAAGATCAACTTATTCATCATGTATTTAAGTACAACTCAAAATACAACCCAAAATTGCACAGTACAGGTAGTTCTTGGATTACGAATGAGTTCCATTCCTAAATGTGGTTTTATATCAAATCTGTACATAGAACATTTAGGTCTGGGTTCTTATCTAGTGTCAGTTAATCAAAGGTTTGTCCTAACATACATTGTACCTTTCTGTAAGGAGCTCTGGAGGTACAGAGGTTAAAGAGCTCAGGTTGCTAACTAAAGTGTTGGCAGTTTGAATGTTCCAGACATTCTGCAGATGAAATATGAGGCAAACTGGTTCCATAAAGATTTGCAGCCATGGAAACTATGGACAGTTGTACGCTATCCTTTAGTGCTACTAAGAATTGGAATCAACAGCAGTGAGGGTGTGTGTGTGCACATATGTATATACTTACACACACACACACACATATATATCTTCCTATGCATTTAAAAAAACCATACTTTCCACCTCACTGCCATCAAGGTAATTTTGCGTCATGGCAGCTCTGTAGGACAGATTAGAATTTCCCTTTTGAGTTTCTGCAGCCATAACTCTTAGTGGGATCAGAAAACCTCATCTTTCTCCTTTTGATCACTGGTGGATTTGAACTGCTAACCTTATGTCTAACATCTTAACACATAGCTCGCTATGCCATCAGGGTCCCTAAGAAACACATCTTTAGCATGACAATAATATGAATGTTTTGGTGCACTGCCATTTGTTATTAAAAACCATTGTATGTACCTCAAAATTTTAATATACATTTAGATGGGAGGTGCTTAGTACAACAGAATCTGAGTCTGATACTTAGAGCCCAGGCACTGTCTATACATTGCATTCATGTGTGATTAATTTTTTTTTTAATGACTTAGCAGCTGTCTGAAATTTCTGTTTTACTTTCATGGAAGTTTGATCTGCTCCACTGATTTCCCTTGGGAAAGAAAGTAGGTTTGAGTTTTCATGGTTCTTAAAAATCTGAATGATCCTTTAGAATTCAGCTACATAAACTTGTACTTATTATCTTCATGATAACCACTCACCAAGTGATATACTTTATCTCTGAGTTTATTTTTTGATACTTTAGACATTCACACAGGCATATTAGCAATGCCTATACATGACCCTAGCTTGTATCCTGTAATCATTCAGTAGGCATACGAGTGGTTTAGAGCACATCACTGAACTGTTAAATCTATATTTTTATAATATAGCTCATCTATAAACACTTTTACCAGTATGATTTTTTTTAAAGCATGTAAAACCGGTCACTTTAAACTAGGATGGGTAATGGAGGTTATTTTACCTCTTTAAAACAAAACGCTTATTAAGGCAGAACTGTGGTTTTAATGTGCACCAGAACAATTGTGTGAGCCTAAAAGAAAGAAGTTGGTTATTATTCTCTTGAAATCGAAGTATTACATCCTCAGATGGAATGCAGTAGTTTTTCTTTATGGAAAAGACACTACCAGCTATTCTCAGTGTAATAGTGCTTTTGTGTGGACCAGAGCAATGTTTTTAAACATATATTATAACCCCTCATTTTTCTGCTTTAAAATTGCTTTCTATTTTACTCAGGAAAAGACAGAGCGTATATGAAGTTTTACAATACCAGACATGATCCTATCCCCTCCCTCCAGCTTGGCCTTCTACAGTTGTTCCACTTCAGCTTACTGACCTCTTGGCTGGTCCTTGATGCTGCAAGCATGGTCTTGCTCTGAGACCTTGGGCATTTGCAGTTTCCATCTTTCTGCAAAGACACCTCTTCTCCAGATGCCTGTTCCTATCTGTTTCCCAGCCACGTGTTCCGCAAAGACCTGCATGGATTTGTGCCTTGATTCCTCCAGGTCACTCTGATCAGACCGTTGTCTATCAATGAGGATGTTTCTGATCGCCCTACAGGACATAGCATCACCTCAGTGTTCTCATTACCCTTGACCATGTTTTATTTTCTTTGCGTGCCTGTATGTATGTTCACTATTATATTCCCGATTCTTAGCATGGTACCTGGCACATAGTAACTGCTCAATGTTAATATTTGTTGAATCACTAAAAATATGTTTATTAGCAAAGTACATTGTTAGGCAGCTAGCAATAAACATTAAGTTGTTAAGCAACAGTTTCTCTCATTTTTTTATACCCCTGCCAGAAGTCACGTTGAATTTTTTTCCTAATACTTCTCACAGTTATAAATTTTATCTTATGAATTACAGTGTGTACATACTGAAAAGTGTATAGAATAAATATATACAACTTGATAATGTGAACACCTATGTAGCTGTTATCCAAGTCAAGAAATAAAACATTGTCAGAAACCCCACAGCTCCCTGAATGTCCCTCCTAGGTAAGAACGTTCCCCTGCCATCAACAGGTAATCCCTGTCCTAGCCTCCGGGGTGCTATTTCCACTCTTGTTTATGAGTTCTTCTGCCAGTTTCTTTAACTTTATGTGAATGTAATTGTTTTGTATAATTAGAGTTCATTCCTTCGTTTCTAAGCATTTTGCCATTACGTAGACAAATCTTTATCGGATCATCATTTGTTTCCAGTTTGGAGCTATTCTAAATAAGGTTGCTATGACAATTCTCAGACATGCCCCTTTTGGGTGTGCACATTTCTTTTGGATCATAGAGTATGCATGTCTTGAAGTTTAATAATGTCAAAATGTGTGCTGAAGTGACTACCAAATTTCCCTGCAGCCATCAGTGTTTAAGAATTCCGTTAACGTTTTACCTGTGGTAGCAATTAGTATTTACAGTTATTTTAGTGTAACTGTATGTAGGGAGTGATACACATATAGAAGTTGAGTACCTTTAAATATACTTACTTAATCGACGGTTAGATTTATTCTTGTGAGTTGACTGTTCATCTTAACTTTTATTCTGCTAGGATGCCTGTCTTGCTTGTTTATATGTGGAAGTTCTTTGTACAAAGTATAAGAACTATGGGGGTTATAGATGTCGGGGTTTTTTTTTTTAAATAAATTTTCTTAATACAGGAGACTGCAAAAATTTCATAGAAAAATTGAATTGGAAAATAATGGACTTTTCTATGAATTACTATTTTTATCGTGCAAGAAGAGACATGGCAGAGGCCCCAAGGCGATGCAGGCTGCAGTCTCTGAACAAGGGAAAAGGAGAGGGTTTTAAGAGTGTAGATGGGAAGGAGCTCTGGTGGCATAGTGGGTGACACATTGGATTGCTAACCTCAGGGTGAGCGGTTCAAAACCCAACAGCTGGGCTCCAAGGGAGAAGGATGAGGCTTGCGAGTTTAAGAGTTCAAGTGTCCGAAACCCAGGAACAGCTCTGCGTGGCCCTGTCGGGTCACTGTGAGTTAGAAGTTCCTGGGTGGCAGTGAGGTAAATGGGAAGAATCGCCACAGATTTTTTGGAAACCTTGGACACAGGTTACCCTTAGATCCCTCTTTTTTTTTTTTTCCTTACAAATTTATTAAAGTGTCATGATCACTTGAACCTAGGTCATTTGACCTCTGATTTCCCATAGTCTAAATTTTGATAAGTGCATACTTGTAATGATAGTCAACATGTTTCTCTTTCATTTGTATTTTCTGCAACTTGACAGCCATGTCCCAGGCTTAATCACAGAGTCTGGCTAAAGGAATCAAATGTGCAGATCAAGATGCACTCTTTAATCAGGGGACACATAATGCCTAATTTTTTCTTGGTGTGTGTGCTCTTAGTTATTGATGCTCAATGACTAGAGCCATTCATTCACTTTGGTTGTAAAATTGTAGTATTCTCATTGCATCATTTATTATTTATTGCTTAGAATGTTTTAATGAAGGTTTCCCCTTGTATTATTTTGTTTCCCAGTTCATGTAACTCACCATGTAGCAGAATGAATTGTTTGATTTCTCCTTATTCTCCAACCATGATCGGTATTGCTATCGTTGTTATTATAGAGGTAAACATATTTGATGGGTGTCAGTTTTAATGTTCAAATTGTATATAACTTGTGACCCGTGAGCTTCTTTGTCTTGGTTGCCGAGTACTTTTGAGTGATACTGCTAGTCTTTGAGATGCATCTTGCTTATTCCTGCCCTGCACTCAGCTATTTCCCCAAAACCCTCATTTCTTACAGTAGGAATTGGTATTTCAAGACTACTATCTGGGCACTGAGGTTGCTTATGGGTTCTGAGTTAATCATTGTTTCAGACTCTCTTCAGTGAACAGAGCTAGGCCATATATTCAAGGAAAAGGAAAAAACAACTCTTTATTTGTATATCTCACATTATAGTTACCAAAGCTTCAGACTTACTAATGCTACCAATCAATAGATGACATAAACTAGTTTGAAAAAATTAAGTTGATTCTGACGCATGGCAACCCTGTGCTTTACAGAGTAGAACTGCCCAGTGGGTTTCTTTTTTCCTTAAGGATCATCTTCAGAGACCAGATGTTCAGATCTCTCTTCCCTGGTGCCCCAGGATGGGTTTGAACTGCCAACCCTTAGGTTAGTAGTAAAGTGCAAACTTTTTACCCCACCAGGGGACCTGCAAATGATATGGCAAGTATAATTTTATTAGAAACTGCCCAACTGTTTTTCAGCGTGACTGTGCCATTTTACAATCTCACCAGCAGCACACACAACTGCCACTCCACGTCTTCACCGACACTTGCTGTGTCCATGTCTTTAACTTCAGCCAAAGTATTGCCTGTTTTTTTATCTTTCTTTTCACCAAATAGGAAAGTTCTTTATATTTTTTCAGAATTTTACTTTTGATGAAATATTCTTGTTCAGGGCTTTTTGTTTCTTGGGTTTTGGGGTCTCTGTGTGTGATCAATAGGAACCCTGGTGGTGCTGTGAACTGCTAAAACCAAGGTTGGCAATTCGAGCCCACCAGCCACTCTGCAGGAGAAAGATAAGACTGCTCCCTTAAAGATTTTTAGTCTTGGAAACCCCATTTAGGGTCAAAGTAAAATGATTAGTTTAACATGTTTTTTATTATATCAGTAATGACCCCTTGATTACTTAAAATGCCTCACCAAGCTTACTGCCATCAAGTCATTGCCAACTCACAGTGACCTATGTAGGGTTTCTGAAGCTGTATGTCTGCCATAGCTACCCTCACCTTCCCCCCACCCCCGGCCCAAGGCAGCTGCTAGGTTTGAACCACAGACCTTGAGGTTTGAAACGCACACTTACCTGACAGCAGCACCAGAGCCCCTCCTTGAAATACCTACTAATGTAAAATAACGTTGACAGTGGTTTGGTACAAGGTGGGGGGCTTCGAAAAGTGCACGGAAAAATTCCATTATCTTTCAACTACATTTTATTTATCCATTAACTTCTTGAAGACTCCTTATATACCTGAGAACAAGTAGAAAGCTGTCTTTGAGATTTATGTACTTAATACTTTGACCATGTCATAAAATAGCCAACCAGAAAGTCTCTGGTCACATAGGCTTAATGTGCTTTCCTTTGGTGCTCAAACGCTTGTAATGATTTCCACTGGGGAGGGGATTTAGGGGTGAAAGTTAACTGTTGCCATAAATAAGGAACAAAGATGTAGATGTAAGTGAGCTGTTGAGGGTTCTTAAAAATACCTTTTTCATATTAGCCCATATCTGCCTTAGTGAGAAGTAATATCCTCAACTAAGTATCAAGATCATCTTTGGAAAAGTGGATAAAGGAGGGAGTTAGGAAAGATCAGGAGATGGGGATTGGAGAAGCAGGGAAGGTATGTGAAACTAGATATTGAAGTTAGATAATTGTAATTTGACGGTATGAAGATCGGCTTATACCTAAAGGATCCTTGGTGGCACATTGGTTAAGCCCCTGGTGGGTAACCGGAAGGTTAGTGGTTCAAACTCGCCTGCTGCCCTTCAGAAGAAAACATTAGCAATCTGCTCCTTTATGGATTACAGCCTAGGAAACAGTTCCACTCTGCCTTCAAGATCCAACGCTCTGAGTCGGAATCAACTCAAAAGCACACAACAACCAAAGCCTTTGAGTTCTAAAATACATTAAAAAGGACTCATTAACAGGAAAGGAAAAACGCGTTTGTTTTAATTATGTTTTCCCCCAAAATTCCACTCTGCTTTTTTGAGTTATTTCAGTGTTGTCTAAGTGGTACATCTTTCTGGCGAGAGCTTTGAATTTTATTTCCTTATTCATGACGTTTCCTAGTAAGTCATCAGTAGTTTGAAAACATTTCAAAGACGACAAATACTAAATCCAGTATGTGAATTAATTATAACATTTCTCATTTATCTTTCATATTGTAGATAAAATGGCCCACAATAGTGGTTTTTATTAATTCATTGTACTGGCAAACCTTTTAGGATATTAAACATTGCTAGTCATTCATATAACCATTTGTATTGCAGTTAATATACTTAAGTTTTCATATGCATTGATTTCTTTGACAGTTTCTTAAATAGCCTAGAAAATATAGTGTGGATTCTCAACTTTTAAATTTTAATGGTATTGCTAATTTTAGTACTCTTGAATACCAGTATTTCAAGCAATTAGGTTAAAAGCAAATTATTCTACAAAACAGATTAAATCCAAAAAGGCACAAACGGCATGTCTGGATTATTAGAATTTTGATTAATGAAATTAATGTTTGGAATATTATTTTATAGCTATATGTAATTAAGACATTTTTGTTTCATTTTCAGAAAAGTATTCCACCAATGAATTATCTTTTGTTTATTTCCTAGCAAATTTTAAAAGCTTGCACTGAGCAAGTGAAAAAATATCCAGAATTGTATACTCTGCATGAAGTGACCAGCATAATGGGATTCTTCCCATTCAAAACAGAGATGGGATTAAAGTTAGAAAAGACTCTTCTTGCGCTGGTAAAGTTTCTATATAACAATAGCACTTATTTTTGTCTGAGACATCTTCCATAGTTCATAGAAATATTTTGTTGTGTTCTAAAACAACCTGTCAGTAATGAGCTTTATCTGTTTTTATGTGGTAAGACACTTATAACAAATTTTTCTGTGGAGCATTTTTTTTTTCACTTAAAAAATGTATTGCTAATTGGAAGTTAATACATAGATCATTGCATAAGTCAATTACATCAAGCAGAATTATACAATTGCTATCACAGTCAGTTTCCAAGCATTCTTGTTCTTCCTGGACTCCTTGACATTGTCTCCCTTTCACAGAAAACGTTGAAAACCAGGTCAGATCCAGCCTGCAGCAGAAGGGGCCTCAACTGACAAAGTTTTAACTGTTGAAGTCAAATTTATGCATTTGATCTATACTCATCTCTCCAATGCACTGTTTAGTGATCTCTTTCCTCCCATCCCTCAATTGTGGGTAGAGGGAGTTCACCTAGGCTTATTTCCTATGCAGTTCCCCACACATGAAGCTTGGATCCCCACTGTCATCCACAGTTTTCTGCCAATCGGGTTCTCACAATGTAGGCCTGTTACTAATCCCGCTTCAACTTTGGAGTATGTGATTTACAACCCTGTGGTGACTGACGGTGGTGTGCTTCATCCATGTGGACTTAGTTGGCTGTTTGTTAGGAGACAAGCCTTTAAGACCCAGATGTTATTTTCTCTGACAACCAGTCACCGTCTAATTTCTTCACCACATTTTGCTATAGCACCCCTATCTTCCTGTGTTCCCTTCCTGAGGGCGAGTATCGAGCAGGGCCAGGATGTAAGAACTCATTGTTCTGAAGTTGGAGCTAGGATTTAGTGTGAGCCCCAAACCCATTGTGAACCATTTTTAAGTGTATACTTCAATATTAATTAGTCATTAACCATGTTGTGCAATCATCACCACTATTTCCCATTTTTTTCTACCACCATCTAGAAATCTCTTTGACAGTAACTCCCACTTTCCCTAGCCCCAGACCCTTGTAGTCACTGATAAACTTAAATCTGAAAGCATTTTCCTGTGGTAGATATTTCATATAAATGAAACCATATAATATCATTCCTTTAGGTCTGACTTATTTCAGTTAGCATGTTTTCAAGGTTTATCCATGTCTAAGATGTATCAGAACTTAGTCTTTCTTTATGGCTGAATACTATACCATTGTATGTGTATTTTGTGTATCCATTAATAAATGTTGATGTATTTTTTTATTTTTGAAATTATTTTATTTGGGCTTGTACTGATAGATCTTTTAAAATAAATATACTAATATAGTAATATAATATACTAAATATACTAATCTTTTTTAGTGTATGGATAACCATACTTCAACTTCATTCTCTTTTATTTTTAAAAATCCCACCACCAACTTGTCTTTTTTTCTCCCTGTTTATTCCCACTTCATAGTGCTCTTGAGTGCAAGCAGCAAACCCACTCTTCTTTTAAGAGGGTTGACTTGCTGTCATTGGAAATCAGTGTGTGGACAGGGTATTCGCGAGTTCCTACTAGTATCTCATACAACGAGAAGTTAGAATGTAAAGGATGAAGATCAAGATTCACGACACCTTTCTTCTGGTCCGCGCCCCCCCCCCCTAAAACAAGTGTGCTTGTTAAAGAGGGAAGGGAAAAAAAGCTATTATAAAGGAGTCTGGAAATCTGACATTTTCATTCAGTATAGTGAAAAATTTCAAATTTCAGGTGGTAAGAAAATACTTTTATTAGGAAAATAAAATTACATTAACATTTTTTGCAATAAACCTTTTCTTTTTCCTCTAGGGCAATGTAAAATATGTGAAAACAGTATTTCCCTCAATGCCTGCAAAGCTGCAGCTAACAAAAGAGAACATGGCTTCCATTGAAACGCCAGAGCAGATTGCTACAGCTATGCACGATGTAAGTAGCACGGTGCAAGTACTTGGGTTGTCTGAGGTATCTTAGCCCTCTCAGCGTGCATCTGACTTGATGCTTCTAAAGTCCTCTTCCTCAGGTCTCTCCTCTGGTGTCATCGTAAACAAATTCTCAGCCAGTAAAGTCAAGTAACACGTTTTATGTTGTTTTTCAGGATATCAGTAAAGATCCCAATGCAGAGAAACTTGTTTCAAGATATCACCCACAAATCGTTCTAACTAGTCAATCATTATTTACCTTATTAAATAATTACGGACCAAGTTATAAGGAACAGTGGGAAATTCCTGTGTGTGTTCAGCTAATACCTGCTGCAGGTTTGTGATTTGCCAATCCAAGTAATGTTCTCAAAAGAGTGGCTAGTGTGGTTCTGTTTCAGCTGTCTAAACGTGTGATGATTGTCAAATACAGAAGTAAAACTTCTTCTAAGGAGGATGTACAGTGATAGAGGCATTCAGTAGACTTTTCAACCTTGGGTTACCATAGGACAGAGACAAATGAATGACTGGGGCTACCCTGTCTGTGGCAGACCAGTAGGGTGGTGAGTGGTAGTTAGAAAAGTCATAGCATAAGATGGCCATAAATCCTTGAATTGATGGTGGGATTATTCTGTCTCATTCCCACTGAAATGAGAGTACCATATTAGACAACCCCTAAACTCCAAAACCAAGCCTCTGGGTCCTTTCCTACTCCTAGCAACTCTACAGCCCTGCTGAGAGATTTCTGAGGCTGTAGATCATGACAGCAGCAAACGGCTTCATCTTTCTCCTGTGAAAGACTTGATAGGCTTTAGCCATTGACCCTTGCACTTAACCCACTGCACTACCTGGGTTCCTTTAGACAGCCTCAATTGGGTGAATTTCCAGGACAGTCGTTCTATTGTTGGAATCCAGAATTAAAATAACCCTATACTTAGGAGAGTCCGCACTGACAGTTGAATTAACATTTGCACATATATTTCTCTGCAACACATGAATCCCCTGTTTGGGTTCTTATTATTTTCTGACATAGCTCCAGAATTAATATTATATGTCAATAGGGATCTAGGTCTATGTACATATATTTATATGTTAAGTATTAAGGTAGTGGATCGACATTGGACTTCTACTCAAGCCCTTCAGTACAAGAACTCCTTGTTCTAATAACCTGGCATTCTGTGATGCTTACCTGCCTGACACAATCATCGAAGACAAAATGGGTGCTTAAGCAAATGTGAAGAAAACTGATGGTTCCCGCTGTCAAACGATATAGCGTCTGGGGTCTTAAAGGCTTGAAGTTAAAAAACCATCTAGCAGGGAAGCAGCAAAGCCCACATGGAAGAAGCACACCAACCTGTGTGATCACGAGGTGTTGACAGGATCAGGTATCAGGTATTAGAAGATCCAAACAAACAATCATATTGATGTGAACAAGGAGGGTTGGAGTGGAGACCCAATGCCCATCTGTAAACAATTGAGCACCCCCTCACAGAAGGGTCATACGGAAGGGAAGAGCCAGCCAGGGTGCAGTATAGCACTGATGGAACACAACATTCCTCTAGTTATTTAATGCTTCCCACCCCCATCCCCATCCCAATATCTTGACCCCAGTTCTACTTTATAAATCTGGGTAGACCAGAGCATGTACACTGGTACAGATAAGAACTCTCAACACATGGAATCCAAACAGTAATGGAAGTAGCGATACCATAAGGGTGGGGAGGGAGGGGGAGAGGGGGGGAACTGATCACAGTAAACCCCTTTCACTCCCCCTCCCCAAACAACAGAAACATAGGTGAAGAGAGACAGAAGGCAGTGTAAGATATGAAAATGATCATTTATCATGGGCTCACGGGTGGGGGAGGGAGGGAAAGAAAATGTTTTGAAAATGATGGCAACATGCACAAATGTGCGTGATACAATTTAAGTATGGATTGTTATAAGAGCTGTAAGAACCCCCAATTATATATATATAATATATAACAACATAATTGTAGGAAATGAAAGAATATGTTTAAGATGGCAGGTACATGGGACTTATGTAGCTGCTCTGTTTTCCTTTTTTTTTTTTTGTCTTTGTTTTTCCTAGCCTAATTACTTAGAAACTAATCATCGTGTCCTGTTTTTGTTTTAAGGATCAAAACCAGTTAAAGTAATTTATATTAATTCACCACTTCCTCAAAAGAAAATGACAATGAGAGAAAGAAATCAAATCTTTCATGAAGTTCCATTAAAATTCATGATGTCCAAAAACTCATCAGCTCCAGTGTCTGCAGTCTTCATGGACAAACCTGAAGAGTGGCCAGCCGACGCAGCTGTATGTAACCTTGTTTTTGTCGCCCCTGCGTGTCTTCCATTGCAAGTCTTTAACCCTAGTATAGAAAAATGCAGAGCTTGAATTCAGACTTTCAGTTGAACCCGCCTTAGGAAGGTTTTAGGTAACTAACTTGATCTTTTTTAACTTCAGTTTCCTTCTTCATAAAACAAAGATGCCACTGCGTGTATCACAAGGTTACAGTAAGGAGGAAGTTCGATATTATATGTAAGATGCTCAACACAGTTATCAACCTAAACATACCAAGAACTCAGTCAGTGATAGTGATATTTAATGTGAGGTTTTAGTTAAATGGCCTTATAAAACATTTAGAGCAATATCTGGCAATCCGTAAATAATATCTTTCATAATTTTGCAGACTTATATATTTTTCTACCTAAAAGCAGGATATTCTGTTTATAGAAGACTTCATTTCACAAATATTTACTCAGCTGATAACACTTCTAGACTGAGGGCATAGCCATGAGTAAAAGGAAACTATCTTTTCTCTTGGAGGTTAAACTAGTATAGGAGGATACAGATATTTAATAAAGCAACAGTGTAAAGAAAGGAAAGAAGCAGGCAGTGATAGATGCTCTGAAGAAAGAGGTAAGTGAAGGAGAAAATGAGAGTGAGATTGATAAATTTTAGATTAACAATTAAGGCCTGACTGAGGACAGGAATTACAGTGGAGATAATCTTGAATAAAATAAAGGAGCAAACAAAATTAGAAAATAAGATATTGTTTCATACTTAGCTCCTACCTTTTAGCTCTCATTTGTTTTTTATGATTTTCTCTGTCATTTGCCTTTTAATTTTAAAATACGTTGGTGTGTGGTGAAACACTTTCAACTCCTATTAGAAGTTTGCTTCTTTTACATTTGCCTTTTTAATCTACCTTAAATTCACAGTCGTGTGAGGCGAATGTCAGAAAAGAACAAGTGCTGTGAAGAAGTGGGGGTGGGTGAAGAGAGATTCAAAATGACAGAAGTCATGATTACCTAGGGTGGCCATAAAGCCTCCAACAGTGGTTCTCAACCTTCCTAATGCTGCGACCCTTTAATGCAGTTCCTCCTGTGGTGACCCTCCAACCACAAAATTATTTTTTTTGCTACTGTTGTGAATCGGGTGACCCCTGTGAATGGGTCATTTGACCCCCCAAAGGGGTCGCGACCCACGGTTGAGAACCGCTGGCCTAGAGTGGGCAGTGGGCATGGATGGAAATATACTGCCTTCTGATTTGGCTGTACATTTCTTCTTTGTGGTCTTGTCTGTTTTTTGATAAGTGGAAATTCCTCTGGAGATACTGTATATACTTGTGTATAAGCCGAGTTTTTCGGCGCATTTTCAATGCAGTTTTTGTGGTAAAATTAGGTGCCTCGGCTGATATTCAGGTCGGCGTATACTCGAGTTACAACTTGGAAAATATGCTTGCATTTTCATGAGCCTTTCAGTGGGAAGAAACTCTTGAGCAAATTAGTTAATAGTTTAATATTAAACTAACCTGCGGTTACATAAAATTACCACTTGTTTTTCCCTCCTGTGGGTTTCTTGGGAGGCTTTCCCCCGTTATGCCCTGGCATCAGCTGAAGACTTGTGTAGCCGTATGAACCAGAAAGAAGCTTGTCAGAAACATATTGTGTTGAGATATTGGAGTGGTGTGTCCTGATTGAGTAAAAAGTTGGTCTCTTTGGGCTTCTGTACAGTGTGATAGCAGCTTGTAAGTATTTTACTGCTTCCATGTGTTATTCAGAAGGCGTGGTGTTTGAAATTTGGTAATATGAAAGTGAATATGTTTTTCCATACCTCACCCCACCTGAATCTATCAGTACATGACGTGTTCCACACAATGATAAGCCCCTATCATATGTAACAAAAGTTTGAACATCACTCAGCTCTGCGTGCATTCTATTAAAAAATTACTATGAAATATTAAGAACAAAAAATAATTTGTAATGAATTAAGCAAGAACTTCCCAGAGATGTTAGACTTTTCTAAAGTTCCTTGAACTGTACTAGGGTGGGGACATTAGGTGAAGACAAAAACCTTTTTTGCTAATTGTTTACCAATACCTTTTCTTAAGATGCCTCGTGAAGTTAATGAGTACCGGAACATTGAAAATCCTGGCAGTGTGGATCTGGATTTTGATGATGATGTCACAGAACTTGAAACTTTTGGAGTAACCACCCTCAGATCATCAGAGCCCCCAAGTCCAACCAGTGCTTCCACAGTCACGAACAGGACGGATTTTTCCACGCTCCTCAAGGTGGCACCAGCACCTGTGGCACCAGCCCCTGCAGACGTCTCTGCATATTCCAGAAGTTTATCTCAGATTCTCATGGAACAGTTGCAGAAGGAGAAGCAATTGGTGACTGGTGCAGATGGGGCCCCTGAACAGAGCAGGAAGGATGGTGATCAGGGAATTGGACCACGTGGTGCTAAAATACCAACTTCTGACAAGTCTTTGATGCAAGAAAGTGAATTGAAAACATCTGCCACCTTGCAATTAGAAAGTCCTCAGACTAAGGAAATTGAAACCGTTGGTAAAAATGGCATGGCACCTGATGAAGTCAGTGCTGACGAAAGATTCAATGTCGTCGAGAATGCAGGCAGTTCAGAGGAAAAGATGATTACATCAGAAGCAGATAAGATTGACGATGCAATTCGTAGCAGTAGTGATACAGATGAAGACTGTTTAGTCATTGATACGGAGTGTAGAAATAATAGTAATGAGAAAACAGCTATTGTGAGTTCTAATGTAAGTTCTAAACCAGCTAGCACAAGTCCTTCCTCAGGGCAAGCTTCTGCAGCTAACTGGACTAATACTACTTCTAGTCCCGAAGAGTCGTGTATTTTAAAAAAACCTATCAAACGAGTGTATAAGAAGTTTGATCCAGTTGGGGAAATTTTAAAAATGCAAGATGAACTCTTGAAACCTGTTTCTAGAAAAATACACCAGTTGCCTTTAATGGATTTAGAAAATCCTACTGAGCCGCCTGCTCCCGAGCAACCCTGTGGTCCTTCAGCTGGTGCCTCCAGTTGGCCAAAGTCTCTGTGGCCATCTGCGTTTCAGAAGCCAAAAGGACGTAAGTCAATATTTAAAGAGAGCTTTATAGTGAATGTTTTTATCTGTCTCTTTCCCTTAAGTTTTTCTTATTCCTTTACTTATTCTTTGTCGTAACTTGTTTTAAAATTTTGACATAGTCATTGATAATGTGATTCATTTTGAATCTACTGATAAGTATTTAAGCTTTCAAAATCTCTCTAGATGTGCACCCAGAGTGTGTGGGTTTTTCAGCTGACGTAAACAGCGGCTCTAAAACTCTACCTGGATATTACCAAATCCTTAGCATTCTTGTCTGCTTGCTGAAAGGTTGGAATTTGGAGTCCATGGGGGTGGTGGTGGGGGGGGACGGGAGGGAGCCTGGTGATCTACTTAGGACAAACCAGCCCTTGAAATCCCTGTGGAGCGCAGTTCCACTCTGACGCACAGGGCTTGCTGAACATACAGTTGGAGTAGACTCAACAGTAGCTGCGTTTCGTATGGTTCACCAAATGAACGAAGGGCAAGTACATCGAAAGTAACCGCCAGCATGGATGATCAAGAAAAGTCCCGTTTCTTTTGTACTTCCTCTTTTGTGAAGTAAACGTAAAGCTGCTGCTCAGCTCTGCCCAGATTAAGAATAATACTATTCTTTACATTCTTCTTGCTTGATATGCAGACTCACCAGTTAGACTCTGCGGAGCATTAGTGAAAGTCGTAGTTAAAAGGAAGAATGCCCTAAAGCAATTCTAGCCAGAGTGAACAGGAATGGAAAATAGCAAAGGGCCATGTAGACAAAATCGAAAATTAAAATTTATAGATGTTGAAAATAACCTTTTCTATGACTATCCTATCAGTAAATAATGGAATTGTGTTACTTGGATTATGATGGACAAAGGGAGCCTTGTTCACGCTATGTATGGTTAAGAGCTTAGCTGCTAACAGAAAGGTTGGCAGTTGTGTAATTCATCAAGGGTTCCGTGGGAGAAAGATGTGGCTGTCTGCTTCCGTAAAGATGGCAGCCTAGAAAACCGACAGGCAGTTCTACTCCGCCCTGTCGCCTCACGGCCGAGAGCCGCAGTCAACCTGACAGCAGTGGGTTTGGTTCAGTTGTGATGGATAAAGGGTTAACCTATTTTAGAATCAAATAAGAACATATGACTATTATTTTTAAAGGATTGCCATATGAACTTCAGGACTATGTTGAAGATACATCAGAATACATAGCCCCTAAGGAAGGAAATTTTGTGTATAAGTTATTTAGTCTTCAAGACCTGTTGTTACTGGTGCGTTGCAGTGTCCAGAGGATAGAGACAAGACCACGTTCTAAAAAACGGAAGAAAATCAGAAGAGTAAGTTATTTTGGAAGTTAGGATATGATAACATAAGTAGATAATCAGCAAACATTTAGTATGTAATTATTATGAAATTCAGTCATAAATTGTTGATCACATTTATAGTAGTATTTCTATAATGAGTTTTTTTAGTAAAATACTGAGATTAATTTTAATAAGATAAAGTATTCCATTACCTATAAAAGTCATGAAGACCTATCACATTCTTGCATAGATTATGTAGGTTTTGTGGGGGAAAGTGTGCCACTGCAGATTCAGCCTGGATTGGCACATATCCCTGCTTTCTCAGAGAATTTAGATTTCCAGGAGGCTACATGAGCCCCCTTCTCGCTTACACTGGGGATCTTCCGGATTCATTTTCGGAGTCCATCTTTTGAAAAGAGGGCCTCATACACATTTAAAAATGTTTTCTAGGTGTATTAGAAAGCCAAATTTCTGTCTTTCTTTTCTATTGTTGGTTTGGTGTTTTTTGTTTTTCCGGGCCTGACACGTATTTTTCCACAGTTAAAATTATTTTGTCACAATTTGAATATGATTCTTTGAACAGTACTGGCTGGTTTTGACTTTTAGAAATTTGAAGTTCTTTTTGAGACTAGTGTGATTTTTACATTTGTGTGACCACTAAATTCTAGTAAATAAAGAGGAACTTTTATATCACAACTGATTATATAAAAAACATTGACATTTTTCCCCTCTAACTTAAGAGTATTTCCCCTTGGTGAGAATTGTTGTAGTATACTTTTTTGCTGTATCTCTCTCTCGCTTTCTAACCCACTACCCAGTAAGAAGCATCAGTGAGCCTAAAGTGTCCCTTTTTTAGGGTAGGGATCGAGTAAATTAAAAAATGAAGATGCTCCAACTTTGATTTTTCTGGATCAAGTCCCTGACTACTACTTAATCATATTCAAGAATAAGTGAAAAGAATAAAAGATTGGTTCAAACTAGAAATGTTAGACACCAAGTGGCTTCGAATTAGGTGCCCAAGGGTAGTGCTTTTTATAATAGAAAATTAAGACATGTAAAACTGCTATGGATTTGATGAGTCTTCTGAGATAAATAGCAATATTCTATGTACTAAAAGATTTTACTTTGTATGATAATTTTCCCCAGCCTTAACTGTATTTACCAGTTTTGATCATTTAATGTGATTGATGTCTGAAAGCATGAACGCCTTGACAGTTTATATTGTCAGTGCCGTGAGCTGTAGTTTCAGGATTTTATTCCTTTCATTGTTTCTTAGTCCCTATCTGAAGTTATTTTGGATCTAAGCTAGCTCGTTTCTTTCACATCCTGCCCTGTGAAACCACTGTATTTATCTATATTTAGAAAAAGGTTTATGCCCATTCGCACTTAAATAAAAAAAGCTCAAGCAAATTTTGGACACTAGTTTAATTCTTGAATGAAGTGACCTAGGCTAAAGTGTAGTTTGTAACTGTGAAGACATAACTTTGTATGTAGGCAATAATTCATTCTTCATCAAAATGCATGAAAATGGGAGTGCCCCAACGGATATCTAAATAGAAATCTTGTTTTTCTGATTTGTCCGACCTACAGTAGAATTTAAATTTTTTCAATGAATATTTGTGATCATGGTAGTTATCACTGTATTTAATAAGTGAATACATGGGGTTTACATCTCTTGGTAGGATTTAAGTCCCTTGAAGTTAGATCTTATTCATCAGAACAAGGATGGTATTAAGGAATGGAACTTTTAAAGGGTTGCAGCCATTTTAAAGTTGGTGCTATTTAAGGTTTAATTAAGTAAGAATGCATCTGCTGTATTTTCTTACTTAAAGTTCAACTTTAGCCAAAGCTTTAGTAAGTTTCTTCAACCTGTGATATTCAAGAACCATCTCTGTTTCTTGTCCTTGATGATTCATACTATGTTTTCATAGCTGTTGAGATTTACTTTCCAGGATCATTGACGTGCCCTTTCTCATCAGAAGCTTCTCCTTGACACATACGAGCTGTCCCTCAGAGACCTTTAAAAGAGAAGCCAGTGCCAAATGATGGGATGCTATGTCAAGGATTCATTTGAACTTCAGATTAAGCTGTATCTTCCTGAATCCTACACATAATTATGAAATCCCAACTGAGTAACTTTGAATTATTTGCTAGTATCTGTAACTATCTATCTCAGTTAACAAGATTTTCTACTGTATCCTGAAATGGTTAAATTATTTTGAAATTTGCATTGGTATTTGAGGGCCAGACTGAAGAATCCTGAAGATGCCAAATGGAAGGAAAGAAGGTAGCCAATGGGACTAGTGAGACATCCGCCAACCAAGCCCACTGCTTGTGAGTCCTTGTCCGCTCAGAGGCCCTGTAGGACAGGGCACTGCTCCTGAGGTTGTCTGGGCTATAAGGTCATTAAGGGAGGCTCGCACCTCCTCTTTTCCCCCAAGAAGCTCCCTGTGGGTGTAAACCACCCACCTTGTGGCTAGCAGCGCACTGAAATATCTACTTGGAAATTCATAGAAAAACATTTCAAAGATTTTTTTTCTTTTTTTAGCATTTCAAAGATGTATGTGAAAAATTGGGAAGCAGAGAACCAAGCAGCCCTAGCCCTTGGCAGGGATAGGAACTATCCAGCAAATAGTAAATTTAGTTTTTATAAAAACTTTGTACTTAAGATTTCAATTTTAATTTTTAAGAAAAAGTACTTATATTTTCTTTCCGCTGGCTTCCTGGAGATGGCAGTAGAATACATATAGAAATTAAAACCAGATTTAGGGTTTGCATTTTGTGCATATAGAACATTGTGATCAAAGAAAGTCCCCCAAAGTAATTTTTTTCAGAAATGCTTTATATTTTTTTATGTTTTTTTAAAAAAACTAGAGGTAGCTCTAGTATCCATTCATTATCCAGAAAGAGAATTTGCCTTATTAGTTATTCTTTTCTTAACTCTGCTCTAAACCATCCAGATGTCCTTGAGCAGATTTCTTAATTTTTAGATTTCTTTTAAAAAATCTTGTATCTATCTACTGTAAGAGATTATACATCATAAGCAGACTATCAGCTACCAAAGAAATATAGACGAGTGCTTTTAACATTGTAATTATGCTATTATCACTACTTATTTTTTAATTCAGACATTTTAGGGTCTTATTACTCAAAGTATGGTTTCTAAAAGTGCAATTTGTTAAAGTCCAAAACATTGGTGCCTACCCCAGAATCTGCATTTTAATAAGATGACTATGCTATAGAAATTTAAGAAATTCTACTTTTGTTTTTAACATTCAAAGGTTCAAATATGAATCTTATGTACTGTTGACAGCAAATACTATTGGATTTAAATTTTTCTTACCATCTCCATTGTACCAAGCCCACTAAGTTTGTCACTTTATGAAAAACAGGAAAAATGGAAATATTGATTAGATATTTTCAATTATATGAATAATGAAAGCTCAAAACAATTTCAGACGTGCTAATTAACCATACCATTTTGCCAAAGTCCTTTAAATCATGAAGTTTTCTTCCCATAGCTGAAAATGGGAAGACCTGTATTAAAAGTAGAATTTTTTTTTTACAAAAATAAAAAAGCATGAGTATCGTGCATACCACTAGCATTCTATTACTTCACAAATTTCCTGTATTCCCTTTTAAACTAATTCCTGTATCCTCTTTTAAACTAATAATAGATAGTCCTTTATTCAGTATCCATTAAACTGAATGGATAATAGGTTTCCTAGTGCTGCTGTAGCAGTAATACCACACATGGTGGCTGTCAAGAGTAGACATTTACTTTCTCACTGTTCTGGGAGCTTATCATGCAATGAGGGTCTTAGTTAGCCATGCTGATAGAGTGGTTGCAGCAGCCCTTCTCGTACCTTTGCTTATAGGGATCTGCCTTCATTGCCACGTGGTGCTTCCCTGGGTCTTTTCTGCTCTAATGAGACACCACTCAGAAGGGTTTAGGTTTAGGGCCCACCTTCTCCCCTGTGCTCTCATTAACATCATAAGAAACCCCTATTTCCAGACAGGGTCGTATTTACAGGTATGGCGTTAGGACAGCAACATCATTTTAAAGGGACACAGTTCAACAGTTAGTGCCTGGAATCAAGCTTTTGTGATAATGAAGACTGTGGTATCCACAGGTATCCATACAGCTATTAATGCTTCTGTATTTTTAGAATAAAAAACATTTTTCTCCAAATATTTGTCTTCATACAATGTGACTCCTCCTTTGAAGGGGAAAAAACCTGAATCTTTACGCTTTTTTATCCTCTTGAGAATGAATTTTATATATTACACTCATTGCCTTTCAGCATCTGGTTGTGAACTTTTGAGCAGTGATGTTCAAATGATGGATCGTAAAACTGTTCCCAGGGTTTCTGCTGTCAGTCATGTTTCCAGACAAAATGTGTGCACACACGGAGGATATGCTGCTTTGGAGTGGAAGTTTCTCTCTTTTACTTCGACTTCTTGCCTATCTATCTCAGTGGATTTTGACAAGTAGGAAATAGGCAACAGACTCCCCTCAAAGATGGCAGCCACCCCACATTCAGAGCAGCGCAGTAGTCTGTCATCCTTGAGCAGGGCACCGCAGCCTCACAGCCCACCATACTGGAAATGTGGTTGTTGTGCTGTACCTATATGCTCTTGTGTCTGCCATGATGAAATCCCTGGGAACCTGTTGGCAGCCCAGCTATATAGGTAAAATGTATTTGCTAGTCAATTAGTGGATCTTTTAAAAAGTTTAACAACCTTGCATTGCAGCAGTTTCCAGTGTATGTGCTACCAAAGGTGGAGTATCAAGCTTGTTACGGAGCTGAAGCGCTGACTGAAAGTGAACTTTGTCGTTTATGGACTGAAAGTTTATTGCATTCCAACTGCTCATTTTATGTTGGTGAGTTATAGTAGAGCCTTTGGTTCTTTCTCCTTTAAAAATCTTTTATCAATATATAACTTTTAATTCCATTGCAGATACTTCCATTCATTAGTTTTGCGTTTTCTTTTTTGCTTCGTTTTTGTGGATTTTGGCATATTGTTTAGTTTGAACGTTACCTCTGGGAGTGTGGGAGACTTTTTTGTGTAATCACAGTGAAGGGGGCCACCTCAGGGTGCCAGATTGTGGCAAAAAACATCATGCCTCTCTTGCCTCACACACCTGATTCCCCTGACCTCGCTCTATGCAGCTTCTTTTTGTTTCCGCAATTGCATAGGGACAGGAAAGGACAGCAATTTGATGACTTAGAAAAAGTGAAGGAAAAAAACCAGGGAGGTGCTGACAGCCATTCCAACAGATCAGTTTTTAAAATGTTTCCAAGAAAGGAATCTCAGATTTGACAAATGTATTAAGTGTAATGGAGAGTACTTTGAGGGTGATAAGGTGGTTTTGTAAAAAAGTTCAAATACATATCTATGGGAGTGAATATTCCTTTTTTTTTTTTTTTTTCGGGTTATACACACACACTTTTTAGGCTAGGGCTGCCTGTAAGAACATTAACTAAACTTTGAATTAATTCTTTACATAGTTGTATCACTGTATTTGTTTATTAAACCAAGACTTAAGAGAAAATGAAGAATGACTAATACATTGCATATTTTTATATCATTTCAAAACATTTTGGTCTCATCTTTTCCCTGAGTACTGGCTGGTGGTTTTGAACTGCTGATTAATTGGTTAACAGACCAGCATGCTCCCACTATGCCACCAGGACTCTTCTCCTGTGTCTTAGAATCGTAAAATCTAACCCGAAGATTTCCATGTGTTCCTGCCCTCTCATTCATGTACTCTGCTCCATATTTCTTTCTCAGCTGTGACCTGGATGTTCTACTTCCAACCATTGCTAGCCACTCCTCTATTTAACTATTTGATCACCCACCTCCCCAGTCCATTCTCATAATCTCAGGACTTCAAGGAAATTTCAAGATCATTTCTCCTCAGAAATTAGGTTGATGGTCATTACAAAGATCTTTTTTTAAGATGACCAGTAGAGGTAGAGAAGACCTACAGGATTTAAAGATTCAGATTAGTCGTATATTTTATGAGGTGTAAGACATATCTCAGGAAGTAAATTATTTCCTGTAACTGGAGAGCATCTTGACTTACAGGATTCTAGTTGAGCGATTCTTAAACTTTAGTCTGCAGCACAGTCATTTGGAGAACTTTGTAAGTAGAGATTGCTGATCGGTTCATTGGTCTGGATTTCTAATATGTTCTCAGATGATGCTGATGCTGCTGGTCCAGGGACCACACTTGAGAACTACTACTCTTGTATCTCAGAAAAAAGATAGTTGTACTGGTTTTTTGTTGCTTAGTTAGGAACATTTTTCTCTTCAAGACTCTAGTACTCCGTTCATCATATAGCACCATAAAAGCCGCAAGATGTACCTGTCTGCAGAAATGTCCAAGGTAGCCCTATCCCATCTTCTGTGCACACCTTCCAGTCTTACATATCTATTATATGTATAATTGACATATAGGCGCTCTTACTTTGCACAGGTCAAATATGCAAAAATTATAGATGCCCTGCTATATTAACTATGAAAATTTTTCATAAAGTACAAACTTCACTTCTTACCTGATGGAATAGCTTATGGGTCATACACAAAGGAGAAGGGAAATCCAATTCCACATTTGCCCAGCGCTGATTCCTTTGATGCAGAGACCAGACATGACTCCACTCCAATTTCCTTTGCCCTATTCTGACATTAACTCTCCCAAAGCATTCTGTTTCTCTTCTGGGTTTGATAATGTGTTACAGTGTACACACACAACTCATAGACAATGCTCGTGACTGTGGAGTCTACTAGGGAAGTAAAGTGTTAAGCGTACAGTTATTTTGTCCACAGAGCCTTGTCTGTGCCGTCCTGGAAGACTCGTCCCTCTCTGGTCCTTGGCTTCTCAACCTATTCTTCATCCCCCAGGACAGAAAGCGTACCTGCTGTTCTGATGCACTGTTCTGATGCTGTTAGTTCCTCCGCTTTTTCTCGTGGTCTCAATACTGCAGCCTCTAGTGCCTCTTCTTCCTGTGCCGCTTGGGGCAGAGATCTGACATGCACTCTGCTAGTGGCCCTGTTTTACTTCATGGCGTTGGATTCTCTGATCTTGTTTCTGAGATGGCTCACTTTTGTACCTAGCAAAACTGACCAATCTTCAAGTCAGAGTCTGCTATACATTATTTGCATCATACTGCCTCACTGTTGCTGCTGGAGGGACTACCTCTGGTGGCATAGTGCATTCCCTACTGAGCTGCGGACCACAAGGTCAATGGTTCGAACCCATCAGCCATCCATGAGAGGGAAATGAAGCTGCCTACCCCTGTGAATATTTAAAATCTCAGAAACCCCAACGGACAGTTCTACTCTGTTCTAGTAGAGTTGCTATGACTTGGAATTGACTCCATATGTTTTTGGTTTATGTGCAAACACAAGCATACTTCATTTGTATTAGTGTTGTATAAGATACTGCTTCCCAACTTTGATGCCTGTTTTTTAAAGTATAGAGCACACACGGGTACAGAAGAGAAAACATCTCAAGCGCGTGTGTGATTCACTTGAGCTCCATAGGTTAGAAAACTTCAAAATTCAGAGAATTGTAAACTCCTTGATGCTCTGTGTTGCCCTAGCACTTAGTTTGGTATTCGTCGCATATCTGTATAATTACTAGGGGAGGGGGATGAATTCCATTATTTTTCATTCTACTTTTCCATGAACTTTTTGAGGGTCCCTCATGTTTTTGACTACACATATTTGACATATACAATAATACATACTTCTTGTGAGATTCCTTTGGAAAGGTAAGAATTGTTCACGAGTATCCCCAAACATATATTTAGTATGCATATTACAATGTTAGTTGTATTTGATACCCCTTTTCTGTACTTATGAGGGAGCCCTGGTGGCACAGGGGTTATGCACTGGGCTGCTAGCCGCAGGGTCAGCAGTACAAAACCACCACTGTTATCTACTCCTGTTGATTGTGACGGCCTTGGAAGCCTGCCGGGCAGTTCTGCTCTGCCCTGTAGGGTCACTGTGAGCTGAAATAGATGTGATGGCAGTGGATTTAGTGTGAATTTTGGAGTTGTCTACACCTATGTTGGTGTAGTGGCTATGTGTTGGGCTGCAATCCGAAAGGTCAGTGTGAAATCACCAGGAGCTCCGTGGAAGAAAGCCTGGGTTTTCTACTCCCATCAACAGTTACAGTCTCAGAAACCCACAGGGGTTTGCTCTGCGTCGGCATTGACTCCTTGGCCGCGAGTGTGAGTGTTTTTCAGTTCATTAAACCATTAAAGTGTGTGATATCCAACTGCCAAGAAGTCATTCTGACTTAGAATGACACTCTATAGGGTTTCCAAGATTGAATATCTTAGTGAGAGTTGAGTCGCCGGCGTTATAGGTTATGAGCAGCCCGACACATCAGCCGTAGCACCATCTGGGCTCCGTATCATAGTTAGTGGAAACACCACTGTCTCTTGAGTTTAGAAAGGCAGAGGTCAAGCCAAAGCTTGGCATAGGAAAATAGCAAGTGGGCGTAGGAACAAGAGGATTTGTTGTCCTAGAAGGAACACACGTTTTTAAAATGTTTGTAAATCTTTTTATGTGTGCAAAGCAAATGAATAAAAAGAGGGCTAGATAAGAAAATGAGATGTTAGATAATGCATTTTTTTTTTTGTTAATGCGTAATGATGTCAGCTCCCCAGGTAATCTATTTTAATAATACTGAAAGTTAAAAATAAAAACAAAAGTAGTATTGTTTTTAGCATTGGTGGAAGGTTACACTCAGGTTAATTGATGGTACAATAACCTGTTTTTTTTTACTTGAATTAATCATAGAACATTTGATGAGGATTGTCTTTTTTGGCAATCGTCCTTGGTACACTCCAAGGCCCCAGTGTTGTGTTACTGCCTTTGTTAAGAATATACACATTATTTTTTTAGAGGAAGTTTGCTATGCTTTTTTTGAGAATTCTAGAGTTATCTCATGTTTGTACTAAAGTAAAACTTTTTCCAACAGACTTTTATTTTAGCCTTTGGAAATCCTATGGACTATTTCAATTAAAAATAATAAGCCACTATTTTTTTCCCGAAGAATGAAAGATGCACGGGTTGTGAACAATATTGGCCTTATTGGCTTCCTTTGGCAATAGCACATTTTTCGTTTAAGACATTTCCTTTTTATACAACTTTAATTGCTATTAGAAACACCAATATTTTAACACATTATTCTTAAATTTTGGCCGTAGAGATTAATTTTGTATGTGACCATTTAGCAAATATCTGATAATGAATTTACTTTATTTTCTGTCTTTTAAATACAACTTTACATAATGTATATTGTTCTTTTTAGAATGTTTAACATTCTTTTCAGAATGTTAAATAATGTTAAAGATCTTTTCACATTATTAATATGTTATAAAGACATCTTTTAAGGCGATTAAATAACTCATTGGATTTTTGGTTTTTAAATACTGCAATGCTTTTTTAACTTTGCTATTTTGTGTTAGGGCATATTGACGCATTTACTTCAAAACTCTTCCTGCTTGAGGAAATTACCTCCGAAGAATTAAAAGAAAAGTTATCAGCTCTCAAGTAAGAAAGTTTACTTTGTGGTAGCAATAGGAAAACTTACTTAAATGATTGTTTTTCCTTTATCTCTAAATATTGGTTATTTTCAAGGATTTTTTATACATTGAGGCGTCTTCCCTTTGCCCAAATGCGATCCATGTTAATCATCTCCAAGTTAAATGTGTTGCCAGTAGCAACAGCCTTTCCACATAAGGGGGTGTAGAATAAGAGTGGCTCACTGGGAAGGTCTGGGATAGGACAGTTACCCTCTCTTCGCTCCCGGATTATGCACTCTGATGGTGGGTTATGCATTGGGCTGCAATGCGGTTGCAAGGTCACTTGCCACTCGGCAGTTCGAAACCACCAGCCACCAGAGGGTGTCAAGTCTGTCTACTCCCATAGAGTTCCAATCTCAGAAACCCACAGTTTTACTCCGTGCTGTAGGGCGGCTGTGAGTCACAAGTGGATTGATGGCATTGAGAGTTAACATCTAAAACTTTGTCCATTTACCAAGCATTATTAGACAACAGAGGGAAATTAGTTGTTTTATACTCAGAACTTTTGAGTACTTAAATGCAAAAGAAAAATGATTTCTGAATAACGAGACTTAAGGGTAACTTGTCCCAGCACATGCAGGCGACCTAGTATGACAGACTGACTGTTTAAACTTGAGAACTCCCTGCTTGTGTTTAAATATGTCCACTCCCGTTAGAATGTTATTTGTGTCAATAAGTTTTTTGCATGCCTTATACCTCCCCTAGCTTCTGAGTGAAAACTAATAAAATATATAAAATAGATTTCATTTTTATTTTAGCCTCTGATTCTCCACCTAGTAGCTTCTCCAACAGCAGAACTTAGTGTATCCATAAGCTTTGATATTCTGAGTTTAATATGTTCTTTTTCCATTTGTTAATGAGGGCTGTTTTGTGTGCTTTAGTTTTATATTGCTTTATTTTTATAGGATCTCAAGTTTATTTAACATCCTTCAACACATCCTAAAGAAATTAAGTAGGTAAGTTTGTTGTGGGGGGAGGGTACGTATTTTAACATTACTTTGATCTGGTTTTGTTGGATGAAAATTCATTAAAAATGTGGAAGTTTGAGTAAGGAAACCATCTATGATGGCATTTGCCGTCAGTGAGTGTGCACTGCATTTTCCTATAAGGCTGTTGTATTTATTGCACACTGGTGCTGTAACAAGTTACTGCAAATGTGATGATTTAAAAGATCATAGATTGATTCTTCTCGTGCTGGTCTTGTGAGAATTATTTCCCAACTTCTTGTACCACTTGTATAATGGGTCTTCAAAAATTCTTAGAAAAACAGAATTAAAGGTTAATGTAACTTGTCCTCAAAATATTTTGAAGCCCCCTCATTCTTTGGCTTATCCAAGGAGGTACCCCCCCAAAAAAACTAGGATTTTTTTGTTTTTTATAATTTTAAAGATTTTGAGGCTCTTACAACAATCCATACATCAACTGTATCTGTACATAGGTTGCCATCATTATTTTCTAAACATTTACTTTCTGTTGAGCCCTTGGTATCAGCTCCTCTTTTTTTCTCAAAACTATGTATTAGAATTTTTTTACAAAATAGCCTTATCACCTTCAAAGTACTCTCCATTACACTTAATACAATTACAAATCTGTAATTCCATTCTTGGAAACACCATCTACCTCATTTTTTTCTTCACCTCTTCTACATCATCAAATCACTGTCCTTTCATGTCCCTCTGCATTCATGGAAACTAAAAGAAGTCACAGAGCGAGGACAGATGAGTCAGTTGCATGCTGGGGTTTTTGCCCAAAACTGGCGCACTGAGAAGCCTGCGTGAGTAGGTGGATTTTTGTGGTGGCAAAACCAGTACCCCGTCTGCCACAAATCAAGCCAGCACCTTGATTTTCCCTCGGTTAGACAGATCTGAGAAGTACTGGATAATGCATTTGTAGTATTTTGCTATTGCAGCAATGGAAAACAAATACTGAACTACAGATCACGGTAACATTTCAAAAGCAACTGGTACATTTATATGTAGGCATGGGTTTCACCCGAAGAACAGAATACACAACAAAACTTCTATCACACTATCCCAGAACTGACAAGTACCTAAGAAACTAGTAAGTGGAATGCCAGCATTTTACAAATGAGGAACTCACATCTAGTTGCATAATAAGTGGACTAGAACTTTGAGAAATTGAAGCTCTGAAATTGTTTTCTAATTTATCTTCCTCTTTGTAGCCTCTGAGTCTTGCCTTTTCTAGCTCATAGGGACCACTTTCATTCCTTGTCCCGTGACCCTCTTCCTCCTCCTCCAGAATTGCAGAAGCAAACCAGTTTGTTCTCACATTGTATCACTCAGATACTCCAAGATGATTTCTCCATTTTAAGACCAGATGCAACTTTAATTCCATCTGCTACCTAAATTCCCTTATGCCGTATAATTTATCCCAGGCTCCAGGTGTAGAACTCAGACTTGTTGGAGAGACCATCCTTCTGCCACACGGAGTTGTGGCCATTCATGTAGTGTGTCGCATGATTTTCAGTGAATCACATGTATTTCTCTGTAAAAAAAAAAAAAATTACATTTTTTCATAAAGGTCATTAGATACAATTACTATTTGTTTAATATCAAAGTATGAAAGTGACTATTTGGGGATGGGGGTAGGGGAAGCAGATTGCCTAGAGCACAAAAATAATTTTGTGGACCTCTTTTGTCAACACTTACTACTTTTCTGTTTGAAAAGTTAATGGAAACAATGTATTGTGGGAGAGAATTAATATCCTCCCTAACACTTAAATTCAGAGGAGGAATCCCCAAAAAACATATCCATTTGGCTTTTTATGATAATGTGTTGAATCCCTTAAACTCTCTAAAGAAGGAGGAAAATTATAGAATTTGATGTTTTAAATAACTCAGAATTGTGGCAGTAGAAGATCCTAGCTAAGGGTACATCCTGTGTCATTTAATGGCCTGGGTTTAAATCTCAGCCCTTGCATCACTACTTTAGGCAAATTGCCTAAAGTCTCTAATTCCCATTTCTTCATCTCTGGTAAGGGCTTAGTAATACTAGCCTCGTCGGGTTGTTGGGAGAACTTAATGAGAAAATGCACAACTGTCATCCTCAGAACTCACTGCCATCGGTTCGATTCCGACTCAGGATAGGATAGGGTAGGCTAACTCTATGGGAGTAGAAAGCTAGTCCGGCAAGGCAGCTAGTAGTTTCAAACTGCTGACCTTCCTGTAGCAGCACAGTGTGTAACCACTCTGCCACCCAGGCTCCATACATAGGAGGTCAACACTCAGACTCGCTGTCATCAAGTTAATTCTGACTCAGTGAGCCAGAAGTCGTATAGACCTGCCTCTCGGTTTCCAGCAGTGGAACTCTTTCTGCAAGGAGATGAAAGCCTCATCTTTGACCACAGAGCAGCTGTGGTGCGGCACCAGGGCTTTTGCTTAACTGTTAAGGGTCGTTGTTTCTACTGCCGTCCTAATAGGCCATCATATTGTCTTTCTGCCACTTTATTTACAAGTCTAAGTTATTGACATCTCATCTTATAAATTGACTAATATAGCAGTCAAAAGAAAATAATCAAATTTGTGGACTTTGGAGGAAAAATTAAATTTGTTCACCAGAAGGCATGAAAATAGCTAAAATAATTTCTAAAATTTGTTTTATTATAAAAGTGTTGTTAGCGGTGATGTTCCATTTCCCACCATTGTTTTCAGTGTTGCTGGTAGACCGTGCTTCAGAAAGTGTGTTGAAGCTGGCGCAGTGAGCCTGTGAGCTAACTCGTGCTGTATGGGTTTAGCTTGCAGGAGGGTTCCTACCTGTTGTCTCATGCAGCAGAAGATTCTTCGCTGTTGATCTACAAGACCTCTGATGGAAAAGTTACTCGTACTGCATATAATTTGTACAAAGCCCACACTGACCTGCCTGCTGTACCATCCAGTCTCTCGGTTCCCTGGGTCCCATTAGAACCCAGTCTCCTGTTACCCTATCATATTCATCATGGAAGAATACCTTGTACTTTTCCACCTAAATCAGTAAGTCATAAAGCACAGCAAAAGGTAAGATCTTTTTTTTTTTTAATGAAATGTTCATTATTTATTTGTACTGTTTCGCTGACTATACAGTATTTCTACCTGATGTTCACATTGGGCATATTTTACCGCAGCAGCGTCTAAACCTAGATCCATACAGAGGTTAGAGAAGTGCTGCTGGGTCTGGTCTCCAGGTCAGTGGAACCTTCAATTGGTGTAAGATTTACAAGTTAAGTAGGGAAAAATCTGTTGCCTTTCCCAGTGAGGGTACAGGGAAGCTGTGTCCATAAATTAATGCCTGTGCTTTCTTTAACTCCCACTGTCATCTAGTCAATTCTAACTCCTGGCAGTTCTATAGGACAGAGTATCACCTCCCCTGTGGATTTTCTAGGCTGGAAATTACAGACACAGGAAGACTCATCTTTAATAGTGAAGGCAACTTTTGTAATTTCTGTGGTCCTGTTTCATTTCATGAAATATTTGGTGAAATTTTTAGAATTAAACATTCTACTAAAACTGACGGGGTACATACCAGCAAGTGTTAATAATTAGTGAATGGGGGACTATTAAAAGTGCCACTAGAGTCTTACGGTCTGATTTTTGTTAAGTATTATATAACTGAAAAGACTTCTCGGCTCATGGCCATTTTGTCAATTCCAACTCACAGGGACCCTATTGGACAGGGCTTGACTGCCCTGTAGGCTTCTGAGCCTGCCACTTCAGAGTTCTCCCATGGAACAGCTGGTGGCTTCAAACTGCCAACCTGGTGATTAGCTCCCCAAAACATACCCACTGTGCCACCGCTTAGTGAGTTACAGTTATTGTTACTGTCGCTACAGAACCTTTTCTAGGAATAACAGTTGAATGACTTTCCTTCTGTTTTAACTCTTTGTTTGTGAGTTGAGTGGTTTAGAGAGCAGATCAGTTTTCCATGTAGCTACTGTAAAATGCATGTAACAAATGTTTCTTCCTCACACGATTCCTTACGCCCTAGTCCACTTGAACTCAGATCTCATCTTTATGGAGAACCCTAGGTATTAAGGCAGGGGAAACAGCATAACCTGCATCTCCCTCTCAACTGCACTGAACAGAATTTATGTTGACAGGTCTCATTGGATTCCTGTGCTTCTCCTTATTTCTTCTGCTGCTAGTCCATACCTATCCCTGCTCTCGTTCGTTACAGTTAGATGCATGCACACATAGATGATTGCGTAATAGAAGTGTTCATAATGTTCACTTTCCGTGTAGCTGCTCTGTTGCTGTCCTCTGTCATCAAATTGTCCCCCAACTCATGATGCCCTCATGCACAACAGACCATTGGGATCCCTAGGGTTTTCGTTGGCTGATTTTGCTGAAGCAGAGCATCTGGCCTTTCTTCTAGTCTTAGTCTGGAAGCTCTCCTGGAGCTAGTTCAGCATCATAGCACCCTGCAAGCCTCCACTGACAGATGAGTGGTAGCAGTGCTTGAGGTGCATTGGCTGGGAATCAAACCCAGGTCCCCAGCATGGAAGACAAGAATGTTACCACTGACCCTCACTGTCTCCAATAGATATAATTAGGTGCATTATACTTCTATAGGCACTGCCATTGACTTAACATCAGTTGAGTCTAGAGTGGTATAATCTAAAAAGTTATGGCAGTGTTTAAGCCAGTGTGTTACCATTACAAAAGATTACCAGTCATACAGACTGGTAGATTCTTTATTCAGATAATAGTAAACCAAAACAGTGCCCCTCAAAAGACAGAAAATAATGAGTGAAGGAAACTTGAGTTCAATCCACTCTTAGTGAGCCAGTAGTCACAGCCAGCCACCCCAGTACTATTTTTAGTGGCACAGGACTGTGAGAGGAATCCCTGAGTGGCCCGAGCATTTAAGTACTCAACTAGTAGCTGAAAGATTGGTGGTTGGCAGTTCAAAGGCACTCATAGTTGCCTCAGAAGACAGGCTTGCTGATTTGCTTCCAAAGGCCACAGCCTCAAAAGCCTATAGAGCAGTCTTACTCGCGGCACATGGGTTGCCTGGAGTCAAATGCATGACAGCTAACAGTGGAGATACATGCATATACAGCCTGTCACTTCTAACCTGGAGCTCAATGGACACGATGTAGAGACGCTGGGAAGGTGGAGGCAGATTCTGGGGGAATGTCCTCCAACACTGACCTCCTCCTCCATTTCTCTTTTTAAAAACTTTCCCCATGCTCAGTGGCCAAAGAGATTGCAGTGTTTTCATGTCTCATCCTCAGTACAGTTAGGGTCCTCAGAATCTACTTCAGCCCTTGCACTGGAAGCGCAGCCAGCCTGTGCTGAGGGAGAAGTCGCATGCACGTTCGTTCTCCTCAGACCCCTCTGCAGCCATGGCTTCCCCTTTGCTGCCCTCAGAGTCTCTCGGGGTCTTGCTCCCGGTCTGCTCTCCTCTTTCTGCCCGCAGACTTTCCTTTTCCCCTTTAGCTTCTCTTCTCTGCGCTTCTCTGTGGGGCTTACTGTTTTTCCTGATCTTGATGTCTTCCTTATCTTGTATCTGATCCTTCTAGTCCAGGTTCTTTCCTTTTTTAAAATCATTTTCCTGGGGGCTTGTACAACTCTTATCGCAATCCCTACATCCATCCATTGTGTCGAGCACATGCATTGCCATCATCATTCTTAAAACATTTGCTTTCTACTTGAGCCCTTCATATCCGTTCCTCATTTCCCCCCCTCCCTGCCTTACGAACCCTTGGTAATTTATCAATCATTTTTTCATGTCTTACACTATCTGATGTCCCCCCTTCACCCACTTTTCTGTTGTCCGTCCCCCTGGGAGGGGGTTATATGTAGATCATTGTGATTGGTTCCCCCTTTCTTCCCCCACCTTTCCCTTACCCTGGTATCGCTACTCTCATTATTGAACCTGAGGGGTTTAACTGTCCGGATTCCCTGTGTTTCCAGCCCTTATCTGTACCTGTGTACATCCTCCAGTCCAGCCAGATTTGTAAGGTAGACTTGGGATCATGATGGGGGAGGGGGCATGTTATTTCTTTACCACCTCTGGCATCTCTCCTGTCTGCCTTCCACCAGCCCTTTAGCTTCCTCAACGCAGAAAACCACATTGCTCAGAAGGCCGCTGTTCCCTCCCTTTCTACTGCAGCTTTTCTAACCCTCCTCCTAGATGAACCAGGAGCGTGCGCTCCCTTCGGTCCTCTCCACACTGCAAAGTCAAAGATCTGCAACGGTCAAAGTTGAGTTTGTTCAGAAACCAGTCAGGTGGCCAGGGGTTAAAATTATGTAAAGGTTCACCTACACCGTGATTAGCACGTGTGTAAATTAGATTTCACTGTGCTCTAGATATGTTGTAAATATGTTAAGCTATTCTGCTCTTTGCTTCCTCTCTCCTAGTTTGGTGGAACAAGAATGCTTACTCGTAGCCTCAGGAATCCAGTTTCCATGGAAACCAGAAGCAGTTGCTTGTCTGCTCAGCAAGTTGAAAATGAAGGAGTGGCTACAAATAAAAGGAAAATAACTTAAGGGCTGTTCTGCTGAAATGAAATCCCGGGAAACAGCTGTGGCGATGTTAAATTTGGAAAAGGTTGTGGGAGGAATATGCCTAAACTATCAGTGGGCCTGCGGACAGTTTCCATTTCAGTGACCTCGACATTCCCAGAGTGCCTTGAGAAAGGGTGTGGGCCATGTGAATGAGAAGGGAACGCCAGTCAGCCCTCAACTCCGACGCTGGGGGGAGTCTCCAGGTGTTTTAACATTGTGGCAGGGAATCAATGGACAAGAAACTCTAGAGTAGACCTCTTCTAAACGTTGCAAATAGTAGACAAACCTGCTATTTTAAAGAACAAAGTTTACCATTAGAGATTATGCTAATAATTACGTTATACCTCCATTCTGTTGAGAATGGATTAAAAGGTTAAATCTGGCCAATGGCAGATAACTTTGAACAGTGTCAACCCTTCCTGACCCTTAGTGATCGTTTTTTATAGGCCACTTTAAAATGAGGGTTGCTGCAGATTAATAAAGTTAAAAACTAACAAAAACACTTAGTGAACATCTATTACAGAGCCCCAAACAGGACTTTTTCCAGTCTGCCTCTGAATAGTCGCATGTTGTATCTTAGCCAAAAGGCCGAGAAGCCATGCACGTTGTGTTTTCTTGTTGTGCACTCAGTTTGCTTTCAAAGACGAAAAAGAGTGGTGTGACAGGTTTGGCTATGAGTGTGTACCTCTATGCACAAGAGTGTGAGCAAAGCAAGGGGGTTGTTTTCCAGAAAAAGCCTATTGTGCCCACTGAAATAGTTAATGTGTGGTCCAAACATAAGCTATATTTTCTCACCTGGACTCGTTCATAAAAATTTTCCAGGACCATATTTTAAAGAGAGTACTGTGAAAGGGGGCATGATCAGGTGATGTAGCTGTGATCCGCTTGGACTTAAGACGGAACAAAATCTAAAATTTTTATACCCCGGTTGTTTAATGTGCACTAAATATTTCAGAAATGAATGTCACCTGTAAAACAAGCTTCCTTACCGAAGGCAATATTTTTTTCTTTTTTAGAATTTTGAAAATGTGCTTTATATTAGCATAAGTAACTAGGTCTTTAAAAGTCATTAACTGTTATAATCTTTTATCTTCAACTACTAAGTTGTGGTTTTTTAGTTGAGTATAAAACGTTCTTCATTGTTTAAGTGATTAGGATTTGGCTTTTGTTATTTTAGTGGAACTTTATTTCAGTCACATTTGCACATATCCCATAATATTTCCGTCGTGAACCATGTGGCACTGAGCCAAGGGAGCGGCAGGAATTCCCTTGGAATTTCCTCTTTTTAAAAAGCTGAACGACTATTGCTTGACTTCTGAATACCAGAAAGACTTGACTTCTACTTTTTAAATCGTATTTTTCACATAGTAAAATGTATGGCCTTACAAGTGATGACTTTAAAAATTATATTAGCCATACATTTAAATTACATTAGCCATACAGGGTCACTGAGTTGGAATTGACCTGATGGGAGTGAGTGAGTTTGTTTTTTGTTTTTGATAATATAGAGTTAATCTACTTGTGCATAATCAAAATTTTAATATATAATTGAACTTGTCCTATATATTTTTTTGTTTTAGTATTGACAGCACATAATTAAAACTATTTCTTTAAAAAAAAAAAACAGATGGTTAAGCCCTACCTGTAGTGTCAAGGGTACAATGAACCTGGGAACTTACTCTCCATTGACTAAGGGGAAATTTATATGCACTGGAAAACAATTTGATCAGTGTGCATTTTATACTATGCAATCTAAAGTACATCTCTACTGTTAACTCTTGCATAAAATTCTTTTGCATACCACAGCATTTGACTTATTCACTGTCTTGAATACACTGGAAGCTCGACAAGGGCAAAAGCATGTTAACTGTGTTTATTCCATTTTATCGCAGTCCCTAGTGTACTGCCTGTCGTGTAGTTGCTCATAACATGTAAGTCAAATGCATGAATAAACATGTAGATATAAAGAAGGCATAAGTTTGATAGTAAACAACATCAATCTATGCACTCAGTGCTCTAGTAAAGTATTATAGCAAACACATCTAACCTAAACCTGATAATTACGGAGAGTTTCCTAAGACACAGAGTTATGAGGGAAGAATGAAGGGTGTTCTACAAAGAAAAGGAGCATCAAATGCAAGGCTGAAAGGTGGCCAGACTTGCGTGTGAGTTGAGACGAGAGAGGAAGCTATGGGACAAGGACAAGCGTGCCAGGCTGAGACATGGTAATTTTGTCCTAAGCCACGCGGAACCAATGATGGTTGCTCTCAGGCGTTATCAAGCCCCCTGACTTAGAGCCCCCGCGGTGCAGCACAGTGAAGCACTGCCGGCCTGCCCGTCCCCAGTGATGGCTGTGGGAGCCTATTGTGGGAGCCACTGGGTCAGTGCATCGCAGTCCAGGTCTTCCTCTTCTACTGTGTCTCCACTCTGCCAGCATGACGTCCTTCTGCAAGGACTGGACCGTCCTGATAACCGGTCCAACTGGGTGAGATGAAAGCTTGCCATCCTAACTCCTCAGGAGCATTCTGACTGCCTTCTGCCAAGACAGCTGGTGTGTAATGGAGCTTAATAAAATCACATGTATATTTGCAGAAGCCCTTGGCCTTTTTCTAGAGCAGAGTGCAGCCCATGAAGAGGAGAGAGGGAGAGAAACTGGAACGCTGCATCGGATCATTGAAAAAGCCAGGCAAGCTTCTGAATTAAAGCAGCCAGAGGAGACTTGGCCTCCAATGATAGAGGCGGAGGGAAGAGAACGTGGTGATGCCGTAAATTGTGAGGGTAAAGTATGACTTCTAGGTTTCTCAAAGGGGACACTGGGTAAGTTATAACCCTTTCTCCTTTTTTAAAATCACTTTATTGGGGGCTCATACAACTCATCAATCCATCCTTCCATCATGTCAAGCACATTTGTGCATTTGTTGCCCTATCAGTCTCAAAACATTTGCTTTCCAGTTGAGCCCTTGGTATCAGCTCCTCATTTTTTCCCCTCCCTCATGAACCCTTGAAAATTTATAATTATTATTTTATCGTATCTTACACTGCCTGATGTCTCCCTTCACCCACTTTTGTAATCAGTAATTATAACCCTTTTATTGAGAAAATAGAAATGGGGTTATAGTGGGAAGAGAGTTCAATAAAATGTTATTTTCTGTGGTCTAGCCACACTTGCAAGGTACAATTCGGATCATGATAGTGAAGGGAGAGGAAGCATTTAGGAACTAGAGGAAAGTTGTATTTCTCATCGTTCCTGACTGACATCGCAAACTGACTGGCTCATCTCCTCCCTGAGCCCCCTCTGCAAGGGGGTCTCCACTGGCCTACAAATAGACCACGGGATGTACACTGGTACAGATAGGAACTGGAAACACAGAAAAGGGGGATCCAGGGTGGATGATCCCTTCAGGACCAGTGGTGTGAGTGGCGATGCTTGGAGCGTAGAGGTTGGGTGGGTTGGAAAGGGGCAACCGATTACAAGGATCTATATGTGACCTCCTCCCAGGGGGACGGACAACAGAAAAGTAGGTGAAGGGAGACCTCGGAAAGATATGACAAAATAATAATTTATAAATTATCAAGGACAGAGGGAGGGAAGAAGGGGAAAAATGAGAACCTGATGCCGGGGGCTTAAGTGCAGAGCAAATGTTTTGAGAATGATGAGGGCAATGAACGTGCAAATGTGCTTTACACAATTGAGGTATTTATGGATTGTGATAAGAGTTCTATCAGCCCTTAATAAAATGATTTTAAAAAGTTATTTTCCTTGATCATTTCTGCTTGGAGTTTAGATTTGCTTGCTATGTTATCTACTGCTCCATAAATCACCCCAACACTTAGCTACTTCAAACAGTACACATTATTGTCTCACAGTTTCTCTGGGTAAGGAATCCAGCCATGACTTCGCTAAGTCTGTCCAGCCCAAGGTCTGACGTAACGCCTCAGTCATCAGAGGCTTTGATTGGAGTTGGTGCATCTGCTTCCTGAAGGCTCCCTCACATGGCTCTTGGTTAAAGACCTCCATTTCTCACTGGCTGCTGGCAGGAAACCTCAGATCCTGGCCACACGCACCCTCTGAGTCTGTTGGGGTGTCCTCACGCATGGCAGCTGGCCTCCCCCAGACATCGCAAGCCAAGAAATTGCAGAGAAGCTGCTGCAAGGTCTTCTGTGGCCTTGTCTTGTCAATCACACGCATCACCTCCATCCCAGTCTCTTTCAAATGCTCACAGGTCACTCACGATGCCCACACTCTCTCATACTCCACTTCTGAATGGGAGAACTGTGAAAAGAAGCTACCGGCCTATTTTCAAGCCACCACGCATGCCCTGAGCAGTTTTGGATATAGAAGAAACGCTTTTAGTGTTGAGAGATCTCCCTTCACCCACTTTCTGTTGTCCGTCCCCCAGGGAGGAGGTTAAATGTAGATCCTTGTAACTGGTTCCCCTTCTCCACCACCCCCCCTCCCTCCACCAAACCTTAATATTTTATAGCAATATTTATTGAGTTTCTCTTTAAGCTGTAGACATATGAGGATGCCTTTTACTGGTCCTTTCACACACCGTGTTCCCTTGGCTAATGTGCAGCCTTTCAAGATCGCTGAGAGCCCATTCTCTTGTCTGACCTGCCAAGCAAAGCTCCCTGGCAGTTGAAACTCAGTTCCTAGGTCAGATATCTAGATTGCTCCATCAAACAGGAAGATTTGAACAGTCAAGGGTTCACTGTAGTAGCTGTATCTGTCTTAAATAAATGAACTCAATAAAAAGTGATCGAGCGGTAAACAAGCAGCCCTCTAGCTCAGAAGCAACAAAGTCCACATGGAAGAAGCACATCAGCCTGTATGATCACAAGGTGCCGAAGGGACCAGGTACCAGGCATTAAAGAACAAAGAATCATATCAGTGGGTGCCCACCTTCCCAATATGATCACTGAAGACAAATGTGTGCATAAGCAAATGTGGTGAAGAAAGCT